GGGAGCTGGTCACTTTGTGAGTTTGTAATATACCCGTAGATGGTGAAGAATACAAGCGAATATATGAAAGATCATATATTCACCTAGAATACCTTCTATTATAAAAAAAAAAAACACGTCTCACGAGGATCAGTTGCAGCATTAAACTTTACCTGATTCTACTATCCTTCAGCTTCTTCAGAAAAGTGAACAAAGATAGTAACAACTAGACAGCAGTGATTACGACAATTGGTTGTTTTTTTTCTCAGTCCATCATTTGAAATGCATTCTAACGAGGCGAGCTTTCTCACATTACATCCATCACTCTCTGGAGATATTGAATGGGAAATACCGCGTGCAAACCTGAATATAGAGAAGGTGATTGGTCGTGGTGCTTTTGGCGTGGTATCACGTGGATTGGTCCTGGATTTGCCAGGGAAACCAGGATGGACTGTAGTAGCAGTAAAGAGCATTCAAGGTCATTTTTTTCGTTATTTTACCCTCTAACTGGTATAACTAAGGCATTAATGTAACAAAATTGGCTGATATCTGTTCATGTGAAAGGACTTAGAGAGCAAGGATCCAAGTTTGTAATGAAGGCAATAGCAACAGATTCTTAAGCATTTATCTATCCACTAGAGCAGTTTTCAATTGAGTGTCGCAAAACCACAACCAAAGAAATCACTAACCAATCAAAACTTCAAGCAAATAAATGTACGTAGAGAACGCGAAGCTTCGAAAACGTGTGCAAGTAAGTTGCGATTTGTTTTGGTTTTACGTCTGATTGGAGGACAAAGTGGCGCGAGATTTTCAAGCCAATCGCTTGGCGCAGTAATGCAAAGCCAAAACAAATGCAAATTTGTTTCGATACTCAAGTGAAAAACGCTCTATTATATAATGCAGCCCAGCAGCCAACTGATGTGGTCAGGCCCATAAAGTTGAGATTTTTATAAAGTTATCAGGCATGCTATTATGAAACTACATTTGAAATTGGGATTACCCTCATAAATATTACGTTTAGTCAAATAGCTGTCGTGGTTTATGTTGAACAGGAGACGCTTCGGAAAAGGAGAAGCGAGATCTGCTGTCAGAGATGACAGTTCTCAAACATCTTGACCGTCATCCTCATGTTATATGCCTGTATGGCTGTGTCACCACTGAAGGTGAGACTTATAGGATTGTTCCTGCGTGTAATCGTTGGTATTTTACATTGTGACTGTTCCTTCTCCGTTCCTCTTTCCATCGCCAATGAAGACGAAAAAAGAGAAAAATCAACGCCAGCTGGTTTTGGTTATTCTAAAACTAGGCAGAAAAAAACTCCTTCTTTTCTTTTGTATTCTATTTCAGCCTTATCAAATGTCTAGAGTTTCTTTAGGAATTATTTTATTGTTTGAAACAGTTATTTCCAAATTTAATCTGATTTCGAGGCCAGTATATCTAAGTCGTACCGGGTTGAGTACTTTTCGGACAGCTTACCTAATCTTTTTCGCACAAACACGTTTTTCTACCGAATGGCTATTATGTGGTAAACTGAAATTGTATTGAATTTGCTAGCACGGCTATTGGTTGTGGTTGAGTACGCTCAGTATGGTGACGTCCTCGGATTCCTGAGGAGGAGCCGAGGGGTCCGTGATAGCTACTACAGTGATCCATCAGTACAACCTCGAACCTGCCTCACTTCCAAGCAGCTGCTTAAGTTCGCTTGGGAGATTAGTGATGGAATGGACTATTTGTCAAAGAA